GAATTACATGAAGCTGAAGCACATGTCCACAACAACAAGGGTCAGTCTCTGGGCAAAGCAAAGCACTAAACAGGCCTTCTCATTTCCTGTATGACAGCTTCCACATCTCTGAAAATGGCTGACAGAGCCGCATTCTTCAATGTTTGCTGTTGTCATCATATCGTAAAATTACAGACAGCTGATCCCTTGTGTGTCAGGGTCAATTCATACTCATGGTACGCTTATGGTCTGCACACAGTGTGAGGGCTGTAAATTTCATCATCGGGGTGTCTAGCAGACATTTTGCATGCCAGTGCACGTCACCTGTGCATGTGCAAGGAATTTGACTGGGTGTTTCCAGTAGGTGGAAAAAAGAGAAGAATATTTCTTGTAGTTTCAATAAGGAGCTGTGTAAGGAGGTGTGAAGTTACCCGCAGACACATAACTCATTATTGAAGGAGCACAGAGACGTATGTGTATTGTGTTTTGATTATCATTGCTGTATGTATGTGCTGACCCTGACAGTCTGCATCCACAGAAAAATGTAACATGTACACAGCTGCGTGCATCCATAACGGCACAAGGAAAGGTGAAGTATGAACTAGGCACAGAGACACAGAGAAATACTTGGCTTTCTTCACCTCCTCACTAATATCCTACCTAGTTTGTTGCACAGTCTGGAGTAGCGGCAATTTCACCTAACTGCTGGTGTAGCAGGACATTCATTTATGTGACAAATAAAAATCAGAATCTTGACCTCATTCATCATCAGTGTTGGGGTCAGCACTCAAAAAAAGTAATGTTTTATGTATTACTTGTTACTTTTTTTCAAAATTGTGCATTACTGTACTTAATTACTCCCAGGGGAAAGTAATTAGTTACAGTACTCGTTACATTACTTTTGCATTACTTTTCAGTGATGCATTGTTTTATTTAATTGCCAGTCACTAATACCCTATATCATTGAGTCTCTGCCATGGTTCCATGTGTGTGGAGTTTGCATGTTCTCCCCGTGTCAATGTGGGGTTCCCCCCTCCCAGTCCACAAATATGCTGAGGTTTAATTGGAGTTGCCGAATTGCCCATAGGTGTGAATGTGCCCCGCAATGGGTTGGCATCCCATCCTGGGTTGTTACCCGCCTTGCACCCATATCCTGCAGGATTGGCTCCGGACCGCCTGCAACCCTAAGTAAGATATGCAGTTACAGAAATTGTTGGATGGAAAATAATAGTTGATACTTTATTGATCCCTATGTGGAAGATGTCTTTATGCCTGCCTCAACTTGCTCTTTGTAGAGTAAGCTGTTTGCGAAGGGCTGCCACCTGTAGTGGTGCCCAGGGAGTTGGGGGTTAAGGGCCTTGCTCAAGGACCCGCAGATGTGTTGAGGTTGGGTTTGAACTGGCGACCTTGTGATTACAGGCACACAGGCTTAGCCCACTGAGCCGCATGCTGCCCCATTTTTAAAATTGTAATAATATTTCATTAAAATAATAATAGACTGGCCATTTTCTAACATTTCAAAATAAAGACAAACTTAAATGAGGAATAACTTTTAAATGGCAAACATACTGAATCAACTCAATAAAGTTGCTTATTTATCAGTAAACCAGTGGTTATATCTCATTAGGAGGAGTGTCTGACATCGTTTGTCAGACAGTCTATTTCTCCTTGGAGTTAACACTACACAGCAAATGTGCCAGTGTTAAATTAAATTGTTAAATAAAAAAAAAATCTAAGTCAAAGACAGTACTGTGTCATGCTATGCAAATATACATCCTTCACCATTGGTCTACAGGGGAGTGGGCAGTACTAGGAGCTGTACAGAAAAGAGTATCACAACTGTCCTAACACTTTTCCATGTATGTTAATCCTCCAAGGGCAGAACTAGCAACCATATACATCCCTACCCCATTAAAATATATACCACTCAGGAGATACGTCCAGTATGTCTCTAATAGTTTTTCCTCTGACTTAACGCCGACATACTACAAAACCATCAGGAGAAAAAAAAACACCCAGACGACAGCTCTTTAAGCTCCAAGATCAGTCAGAACTAAGGCAGCAAAGCTTCGATACAAAACAAGAAAAAGCTGTAAGGTCTTTTTTGGTCCGAATCTTTCTCATGATGGTGGATAAATCTGGGGTGGCTCTTCTGATCCTCATGACTTGTGCGCATATTAAAATGGGCCAGATGTGTGGAAGTGGAGACTCATTGACTTAACACCCTATGGTGTAAATTGAACACTATTAGAGTTAATAAAGATTAATGCTGTAAAAACAACACTCACTGCACACTGTACAGTGTTAAAGGTAACACTGAATGATGTGGACCCATATAGACATCATGCAGTGTTAATTTAACACTGGCACATTTGCTGTGTAGATTGCCCAGCCTGAAAAGCCTCTCCATTGGTGCACTAGATGGTGTTGCTGTAAATGGTACAGGACCTCCATCTCTGACCCCAACTTCAAATATTCAATGACTTCAGCATCATAATTAAAACAGTCTGTTTCATCATCAAAAGCAAAGAATTCATTTTCAATGGAACTGATACTGGATGCAGGTTAAGTTTTGCACCGAGCTCATCGTAAGGAAAAGCAGGACATTCGGCAGTCAGCATTGTCCTCAGGGCTGCTCTCCTGTCCTCTTCATGTACCGCTTCAGGCGGTACCCGCAGTATTCAAGTTTTGTCCCGCTCCCGCCCACAAAATCCCGCAGGTAAACATATAAGTAGTTTTATTTTTACTGCTTCTTCCTGCTA